TGAATCCTTTGATCTGAATCAAATCTTAAGCCCACACACCATAACAGGCTCGCCACTATGCTTAATCACGCATTCATCATTCAGTCTTTGTCATAGCTTTCTTCTTATCATCCCTTCTCCTTTTGCTACCAAATGTTTGAATTTGGACTCGTCTGTCCACAATATATTTTGTCACTATAATATAGAAAAATGTATTGTGGGCAGACAAATCCAAATTTGCACTCTTTGGAAGTTAGAGGAGCCTGAAGAAAGACTGAAAAATAAAAGCAAATACACTGCTTGCCAAATTATTATCGAGATAACATTTTTTTCTAATATTTCAAAAACCCTCCAATCAATTCACACAATGTTGGCAACACAGACCTACGCAATCACTGAAATTTTCGTACTGATCTGCGCAATGTAAACAAACTAACGCCGTATTTGTTGTCAGCACGGTGATTTGAGAGTGCCAAATTATTAGAAAAGTATAAGAATTTAGTGAAAAGATGGGTCTTAAAAGCAGTTTAAGTGATGCTGAAAAGAAAAATATCACCTCAGAACTCTCAAAAGATAAATCTACCCTAGAAATTTCTAAAATGATAGGGAGCTGTCATCAAAAAAAAAAGTTCACCGCCGACCCTACACAAGTATGCAAAAGGGCAGATAAAGGCAAGCCGAGGGTTATTTCACGTCGTCTCATGTCACGACTTAAACGAGAAGCCACGAAGGACCCTGGACTTACCACTCAAGAGCTTTTCAGTCGCACTGGGGATCCTACTGTGTCTAAAAGTACACGGTGTCGGTAACTGAGGCAAATAGCAACAACAGTCAAACCTGTATCGAAGCCTCCGTTGACGAGAAATCACATTCAAAATCGATTGAAATGGGCCGAGGACAATATGAATATTGACTTCTCTAAAGTTTTGTCCACAGATGAAACTCGAGCAACACTTGATGGGCCAGATAGATGGTGCAAAGGCTGGGTAATGAACGGGCAGAATCGCCATCAGCGTTTGAGACGCCAAGAAGATGGTGGAGGCATAATGATATGGGGTGGTATTATTGGAAATACATTAGTGGTTCCATGGAGAGTACCAGATGGTGTCAAAATGACTGCTGATGCATACATAGCGTTTATGAAGGAGCATCTTGAACCGTGGATGAAAAGGCCTTCAGAAGGGCAATTGTTTTTATGCAAGATAATGCTCCCTCACATACTGCTCACAAGACTACTGAATATTTGAAACAGTTAGGCTTCGATGGACCTCGAAAAATGAAGTGCCCAGCAAATTCTCCGGATTTGAACCCAATCGAAAACCTTTGGAGCATCATGTAGCGAAGACTGTACGCCAACGGACGACAATTCAGGAGCAACGCTGAGTTGTGGGAAGCAATTCTTGACATATCTCGCGGCATTACAGCAGATGACATCCTACAATTAACAAATTCCATGGATCGTAGACTTCTTCAAGTAATTTCAAAACTGGAAAAGTACATTCCCTATTAATTTGTCTAAAACTGTGCCTTTGTTTGTATCTGTTATTATTTGTTTGATTACCTTATTTATTAGGTTCTTTTGATCATAAACATTCATGTGCAACATTAATAAACGTTTTGTTTGCTCAATTCTGGGAATTTTACTAAACCTTTCTAATAATTTGTCACTCTCAAATCACCGTGCTGATAATAAATATGGCGCCAGATTGTTTACATTGCGCAGATCAGTACGAAAAATTCAATGATTGCGCGGGTCAGTATTGCCAACGTTGTGTGAAAATTTTGTGTGAATTGATTGGAGGGTTTTTGAAATATTAGGAAAAAATGTTATCTCGATAATAATTTGGCACGCAGTGTACACCCTAGTTACTGCAATTTTATCTTTTACTTTAAAAAATACAAAAATATCTCTTTTTAAGATGTTTTTAAAGAAATTGAGGATTACTCCCAACTTTTGTCCGTAGTTTAGGTCAGTGGGGGGGGTAAGAAAAATCGAACCTTTAGAATTCTTTTTAGGACATATGTACGCAGGGAGTAACAGGGATTTAAATTGAAAGTGAAGGCCGAATATCGGTAGGATTGACGAAAAGACAAAAGATGAACGAGATTCAAGAAGACTAAAAGATAGCGATTGATGTTGCATTTAAATTTTTGAAGATTGTAGTTATCAGGGAAGAAAATAAACGGAAGGTAAGTGGTAAGTGCAAGAAAAGAAACTGTTGAAGTGGTGGTTGCATTTAACTTTTTCAACAGTAAAACAGTGGGACCTAGTTACCAATCTAATAGCACGCTTGAATTCATGTAGTCGGGACACTAGAGAAAGAAGCTCGTCAGAGCAGTTGCCATGAAAATATTTCTGGAAAAGACAGAAGGAAACAACATCACGTCGTTAGGAAAGTGACTGAAGTCGAGATGCCACGTCAGGATCGATTTCTTTGGATTTTGTCAAGAATCTTGAGATGTACAGCAGGAACACCAGATATAGCAAGAGTATTCAATTCACGGACGAATGCTAGATTTGTAAATGTGCAAGATGGAACCTTAACGGAAAGATTTTCTGGCAAGACACAGTGACAAAAATTTACTTCTAGTAGATGCAGATGAAGATAGTCATCAAAAGGATTTCCTACTGACTTTTAGGTCTTGAACTTCTTCAAATGACACTGCATAAACGCTTTCGTCCTTGAATAATCGTAGCGTAAACATGTTTCACCAACAGTGACTAGGTGTTCCAAGAAATTATACTGCAAAATACACACACACACACGCACACACACACACACACACACACACATATATATATATATATATATATATATATATATATATATATATATCAAATGGACTCTCCTGTCGGTTTCGAGCTATGAGGATCTGCCAACTTAATTGATTCAGTTATGAAATTTTGTGCGATAATCTTAAGTAAGGATTGTGGGATGAGATCGCTGTTAGATTGGCTGACCTTTTAGATCGTGCTCTCGCTTCATGAAGACGATTCAGACAAGCTGATTGAAAACTGCTGAGCCCACTAAAATACGTAGATCTTCATTCTACCCGCTCCAAGGCTAGGCGCTCGAAGGTGTTATGAGGTATATTGACAGCTGACAAGTTACACTTCAGCTTGTCTTTGTAACTTAGCCATGAGTTCCCTACATACCTGTAGCCTGATGTAAGTAGCTGTACATTAGAATCTTGTGTATCCTGTCATCAGACATTCTCAAGGCATGACCAGTACACCGTAAGTGAGACTGTATGAGAAAAATCTCGATTCCTGCAATACTACACCTGTCAAATATATACCATGTACTATATATATATATATATATATATATATATATATATATATATATATATATATATATATAGGACTATGTATATATGACATATATTCAGATAAGTTTCGATAAATTAAATCGACAATGTCTGTTTAGCTTTTATTGTACTTTTTCGATTTTTCGAGTCAGTTGCAGTACATCGGGATAAGAATTGCGGATAAATTAACAAAAATATGTTTTATTCTTTTCTTTTCAAGTACTTTCGATTGTCTCAGTTATTATCAAGAACTAAGTGTTGCCAGTAAGATAGACACTGTTTTGTTCGCCACAGCCTCACATCTTGAAGTGTATATAAAATATTTACTATGCGTACAAGATAATAATAATAATAATAATAATAATAATAAAAATATGCATAAATATTTGATAAATCTTTTTCGGTGCTGTCTGGCTCCACGTAACCATTACACATAGCATCACTTTGGATACCAAAAATAAAGTGTCATCAAGGCAAAAGAAAGAAAGAAAGAAAACAAAGAAAGAAAGAAAGCAAAGAAAGAAATTGATTGGAATCCAGATATAACTTATAGAAAGTAAGAAATGCATGAATCACAAACAGAAGCAAAGAAAAAAGAAATCAAGACACAAACAAATGCAAAATGGATGAAAAAGATAAAAACCTAAGAAGAAAGAAAGAAAGGCATAGCTTAAAGAAAAAGGAAAGAAAAAGAAAAAACAGAAACAAAATAAACGTCAATAGACGAGCAAATATTATTATTATTATTATTATTATTATTTGCATGCCAAAGCCGTAACGTAGCTTCCCTGTATTTGTTCTATAAATACTTTCAAGTTAATTGTTCTGATAAACTTTCCTCTATGCAACGCCTTTCGTCTTTTCGAGTACGCTTTTCGTATTTGTTGTTCTGTTTTAAAGTGTGTGTAATTGAGTGAGTGCTTGGTCGAATGATTGCTCTATTTAAGTCCCGCATTTATTTCCTCCAGTTAACTGATACTTCTGCCACAATTAAGGATTACTAAGACTATTTTGTTTAATTTATTGTATATAAAATTGTAATCATTGTAAATATTCATTATGGTTTAATTTAAAATGTTGTTATTTTTATTGCCCCACACCCACAGCCAGATTGTACATATGGGAACTAGTTAGGACTTCATAGAGATTTTGTGGCATTATGGTGCCTGTAGTAAGAATGATAAATAAGAATATGTTGTTCTGGTGTAATACTTTGGTATGCTTGGTTCAGTAATTGTGGCTAGCTAAGTTTAAAATAAGATTGAAGACCAGCTTCCTCCTACCCACCCTTTTGGCCTTATGTCACATTTTTGTATTTTCAAAATAAATATCACTTTCCTCTATGGTACCTAAACTTTATGAATTTAAGCGTACTAATAGATTGGCTCTTAGGTTTCATCCTTTTACAGTTGGAATGGCTAGATGTGACCGTAAGTTATATGCTAAGAGTTTCTTCTCTCGCACTTCTCACTTGTGGAACTCTTTTCGACTTCTCAGTTTTACTTGATCTTAAAAAATTTAAATGCAATGTCAATCGTTATTTACTGCTTTCTTAATTTTTGTTCTCTTATTTTTTATCTCCTTAATAGTGTTTTATTTTCTCTCATATTTTCTAATACTCGGTAACACCTTGCGTCTTAGTGACTTTGCTGCCTTGCTTGAAATGAAATGATTAAAAAAAATAAAAAAGGAAGATAAATCAAGACAAATCAAAGAAAGAAAGAAAGAAAGAAAGAAAGAAAGAAAGAAGTTAAAACTAAACATAAATTTACATTGAATAAATCAAAACATGAAATTTGGATATAAGTCAAAGAAAAAAATAAAGAAGTAAAAGTAAAATCAAATAAAAAAAAACGAAAATGATAGAAAGAGAAATAAAAAGGTAAGTAAATGGAAAAAGGTGGAAAAAGAGGAAAAAAAGAAAAAAATTCAACATAAAAAAGAAAGAAAATACCAACTGTCAAAAAAGTAAAAAAAAAAAGTATCTATTAGAGGAAGGCGAGTAGTTGAATGAACAAAAGTGAAATAAAGCAAACTTGAAAAGAAAGAAGAAAAGGCAACGGTCAAAGATCGCGCAAGAAAAAAGTGCAATTTAACTGAAGTGAAAGAAAAGATATTGAAAAAAAATAGAAAAATTAAGCAGACTTTACAATGGTGTTGTTCTGTCTGGACCATTGTGTTTCTGTAATTGATATCTCCAAACCATTATATTTTCTTAGCATAAGTGCTGCATACAAATCAGTTAACCGCACACCTCGTCCTGTAGCGACTGTCTGAAGGTTCACACTCAGAGTCTGATAGTCTCAGCTTTTAACCAATTCGTTCTTGAATAATTCCCCTTTGTTATGAAATTGTGCTTGTAGAATATAAGTGAAAAGTGGGAAATAATAGCTGTTTGAAGGTGACTAAGTGAGAGTGGTGGGTGGTATTTGACATCTCTGCCAACAAAAGAGCTGTTATCAGCTTATTATAGAAAAGAGAACGAAGCATTCTTGCTCTTCGTATTGCTATAATTGTTCTGCTGATTTTGTTTAAAGAGGGAAAAACAAGCATTTTGGTATGGTTTTTAGTCAATACCTGTTGAACAATAGTTATTAGACTAGGCGTCACAGCACATCTGGTAAAGTTGCTGACTCTTTAGCTTGTCAGATTCATTCAGCTAAGCGAGAAACTTCGAGTTGGCAAAGGAAATATTAGAAAATTCATGAATACGAATCGGAAGATAGATAGATAGATAGATAGATAGATAGATAGATAGATAGATAGATAGATAGATAGATAGATAGAAACTAACTGCAAAAGAAAGAAAGAAAGAAATGGACAATATATATATATATATATATATATATATATATATATATATATATAATGAAGCCACGTATACTTTTTCTTAATATGTATATATAGAAAAAGTTTCAAATTAAAAAAATAATAATGCTTTATTTTATGAAAGTATTTATTTATATATATATTTGATATTTCAAATTGTCCTCAATTTTTCATCAGAAATAACTGTTTGTTACAAATAAATTAAAATTACTGTTTGTTAGCAAGTAGCGTCCTTCGAGAGACGCGGACGTCACGTGATATGGAACGTCACTCACATATATATATATATATATATATATATATATATATATATATATATATATATATATATATATGGAAATAGACCGCTTACAGACATAAACAGAGTATTGACTGATTGATTGATAGATTGATTGATTGACTGATTGCTCGATTGATTTGTTTGTACAGCTTTTCAACACTTTGTGGATAATTTAAAGCCGAAACATTTTGTATTGTTTGAATAATTCTTTTACATGCGTGAATATTGTATTAAATCTTTTTTGAGAAAAACAATGATTATTCCAGATAGAAGTCTTACTATTTAACCCAAATAGTCCTCTCTTCCTCCTTCCACTCTCTCTGGATGTTTGTCCCTCTGACTCCCTCCTTCTCTTTCACGCACACACACACACAATTTCGGTCTGTCTCGCACCCACTCTCTCACTTGATAGATAGAGAGAGAGAGAGAAATGTATGTATTTATATATATTAAACATAATTTATATTAAATATAGCATATTTAGGCAGTAATCCTTTGTTTAAATATAAAGTGGACATGGGACGTCGGTAGAATCTTTTGATCTCACCTGGTGCCGAATAAGTTGTTTAATGCCAGTTAGAAATGTGTAAAGGAACTTGCCGTAACTATATATATATATATATATATATATATATATATATATATATATATATATATATATGTCAACAAAATGAGACTACAAATATACATAAACATATCAACATAGATATGAACAAATTATGACATAGATAGATAGATAGATAGATAGATAGATAGATAGATAGATAGATAGATAGATAGATCATCTTTCTATATGTGTAAAGACTGAGAACATGTTTTCCCTTTTCAAGATAAGATGTTTGTTATCATTCTGCACATTTTTTGGATAAGTATCTCTATTTTATCAGGAAATATTGATGTGACTCACGACTTTTCCCTTTTTTTATCTCCGCAGGCTGTATATATAGGGTGGTTCAGTGAAGGCTTTGAAAGAGGAAGCTAGACTTTCAGAATTCTTTTATTTAGGATTAACGTTTAGAGTTAATTATGGGCATGTATTGCTTGTTTATGCTGGATGGGTGGTTAAAGGATGTGCGTATTTAAATAGGCCAGGGTTATTTATGGCCACGATTGCTTATTTGTTTATTGATTGCTGATTTATTTATTTATTTTTATTTATTTATTTATTTATAGGATATAAGATAGCATTACGACATAAAAAAAAGACAGTCACCATACAGTGTTGATTCATATGTCCACACTATATTTATAAACGCTCTATTTTTGATATTGAGTAATTTTCTCGTATAAATATAGCAAATTTATATATATATATATATATATATATATATATATATATATATAAACTTTTATTAGCTTTATTTCTGTATATATATATTTATATATATATATATATATATATATATATATATATATATATATATATATATATATATATATATATATATATATATATATATATATATATATATATATATATATCGTCCGGTTCAGACTCCTCCATGTCTATTGAATAAGAATATAGGCTTATCCTTTGTTTACTGTTTAGAATTGGGTTTCCGGTTCCTTCTCAAGTCTTTTTTTCTTCTTTTTCACTTCCAGTAACCCTTTGCATCTTAGTGGCATTATCGCCTTGCTTGGGTGAATTGATTAAAAAAATATTATATATTTTTTTTGTAAACCTCTATATAGATATGCTTATTTTAGTATGAGTGTAACACTGTTTTTTATATCTCTGTATGCCATTCTATCTATTTATATATATATATATATATATATATATATATATATATATGTGTGTGTGTGTGTGTGTGTGTGTGTGTGTGTGCTTTAATGTCAAGAGGGCTAGAGATTGGGTTGGGCGTTGTACAGTTTTATGATTTTTTTTGTCTTTTTTTTTTTTTGTAAGAGTAAAAATGAAAGCGTACTTATAACACGAGGTCTCGCCAAAGCAGAAACAGTCATTTAACAACACAATAAATTACAATAACTTGATTACTGAATCCATTCAATGAGCTAAACATTGATATTTTTCAATTCTCTCGGCATCTTGATGACATAGACGAGGACATATTAAAGGGGTCGTCATAATGAGATTTGCGTCTCCATCACGCCCTCGGGTTGAGCGGTGAAAAGGATCCGCAGACACATATAATATTAAGCTGGCACAGATATCCGTCAATACGTTGTTCTCTTTGTCCATGCCCACGCGTATAAATACGGAAAATATGGAAACAGAGCCCGTGTGACACGCTGGCATAACAAAGGTGCTTTCCAAAAGCTAGACAAACTATTGAGAAGCAAAAGGGTTTCGTTAGAAACAAAGAAAAGTGTGCTGACCAACTACGTAATATCGATCCTTTTATATGGCCGTGAATGCTGGACAATTTCCTGGCAGACGAAGAGGAGACTTGAAGCAACAAAGATGTGCTTCTACAGAAGGATGCTGAGAATACCACGGATGGGGCATGTGAACAACGAAGAAGTTTTAAACAGAAAGAGACAGTTGAAATTTCTAGGACACTGATGATTTTGACACTCACATGACAAACTGAAAGCAAGAAGGCAAATGAAAACGGTGAGTAATCTACTTAACAAGTTTCTATAAACGAGGAGTGGGACGGATACTATAAAAGAAAAACATTACGAAAAACTACAAAGCATATGAATTTGTGGAGAGCCATGCTCTGGAAGGATACAAAGAAGAAGAAGAAGAAGAAGAAGAAGAAGAATGTTCGCATAGAGGCCCTTATTTAATTATAATTTTCGTGGTCGGGTCGGATGTTTTCTCAAACAGGAGATAGGAATTAAACTACAAACAATATTGTAGAAGTAACAACATTTTATTGCCTTAAATAAACTAAATAGGAAGTATATAGAAAGAGTTAAATAGAAGTTTGTATATTTAGTATTGTATATTTTGCTTATAAGGAGGCACGGTGGAGTAATGGATAGCGTCTCGGATTGAGGAATCGGAGATCCGAGTTCGAATTCCATTTGAATCCATTACATTCACTTACGTGCTAATACCCTTGAGAAAGGTATGAATCTTCATCATCTACTCGACCACCACCAACTATGGGACCACCACCCTCCACCAACTATGGGTAAATACGGGTTCTATAGCCTCGGATGGCAACTGATCTACTGCGGGAAAATATCTGCCTCTCTCGTCAGTCGAGAGATACATGATCGCCTAAGCGTGTATCGCACATGACTGACTGACTGATATTTTTAGATATTCTTATTCGTACGGACTATGTGTATAAAATTCTATTGTAGATCTAGAGAGTTTCTTTAAGGTTTAGTAACGACATTTATAAGCTCTTTGGTGTACATTGAGACACGTAGCTCGCTGGAGACTAAGAAGCCCAGCGGAGAAATATTTTGTGGTTAAAGACAATAAAAGAGGGAGAAACCTTGCGCTTTTTTCTTTTAAACTGCTTTTTAGCAACTCCATTCCGCGGTTGGTAGCATAGGTTCTCTGGTAGACAAGTGGATTAATGCCACGAGCCTTGTACCGCACTGGACAAAGTCAAATATATACAATCTGGTTTTTCGTATCTACTATCGTCATCAGTAGTGTGTGTTCTAAAGAGCCAGGTTCTTAAATGCTTATTTTGAAAGCACGGAAGCCATTCTCGCATGAAAGATTGGCGCAACACGTTCTTATAATTTACGTTTTCTCCTATGCATCATTCTTTGCTATACTGCCACAAATTAAAATTCCACAACAGGGAGAAGCTATTGTTAAGAATCCATATAAACAAAAATACCGAATCTCGTGATAAATATTCGGTTCTATCCATTCTTTGAAAGTAGCACAACACAATCCCCACCCCCAAATAATAATCTACTTCAGCCATTATATATAACATGATTAAAATGGTTTTTGCTAGTTTGGCGTCATCTGATGCTATGATACTTCAAGACAAGAAACATATTTGTTCTTTGCGGCTCACATAAAAACATACAAGTCGTTTTCTTTTTTTCCTTTCATCTGCCACATGTCTTTTACTTACTTTTCTCTCTCTCTCTCTCTCTCTCTCTCTCTCTCTCTACCTCTCACTCTGTGTATGTGTGTATGTGTGTGTGGAGAGTGATTCTAACATATATACAAACACCTAAGTAAAATTATATTTCAAGATAAACAGTCCTGTGCCGTGTGCACCACAAGTACTGCAATTGTAGCAGCACTGGATGTATCTAAAACAAGATAACCTGACGCAACCCATCCATCTTCAGGCTGCTTATTAATTTAGAGTTGTCCGTCTCTTAAACTAGTTGCCCTATCAAGGCAAGACAGCCAAGTTTTAATTAACACATATCGGGAAGAAGATGAATTCATTAATTTCCCAAGAGTATCATTGCGAAGTAAACGAAACACATTTTGTCAGAATTTGAATATGGCACGACGATTACAATCTCCGTCCCGATAACCGATTTACTAACTGAAAATCCCCAAAATATATATTTACATCAAGATAATCGCTGTTGTTTTACCATATGTATTACAATAGACAAAGCAGTAAAACATTTCCCATCAATGCCAGAGATCTATGTCAGAGTCCAGGTAAAGGCCTTGATCCCGAACATTAATTTTTAAAATCAGGTAGGCCCTTCTAAGTTTGCGCAACAGTATAACATGAAATCGCACATCTTCCTCTACTACTCGGCAATTATTGACTCGTTTAGTCTACGCCTCAAGAAATCAGAAATTGGAACATAGTGCAGACGTGCGCATTTACAAATGTTCACCTAACCCATAACCTCACTATGGTCCTAACGGGAAGCAAAATGTTACCCCAAATGCACGCCTGCACACACACACACACATATATATATATGTTTATATATGCAAGTAAATGTGAATGTACTTTTTTGTATAGCTGTTTTATAAGATTATGCATATATATATATATATATTATATATATATATATATATATATATATATATATATATATAATATAATAATGGATTAAGTCAATTTATTTAAGTAAATTGTCAATAACTTGATATATTTTCTGCTTATACGTTATTTTTATAGATACAATTTATTTTATCTAATTGTCTATATATATATATTTTAATAAATATAATATATAATTATATTTACCGGCCTGAATCTTCGAAAAATTTCCTAGAAAGTTTATAGTTTTTCTCTGATCCAGAAGCTTAAAGAACCATGAATATGCAGGAGATTCCTATTCGGAAATTCGTCATTTGATTTCAGGGATACAGACGCACATGTTAAAATCTATCTAAAAGTTTTATCGATATAAATATTTATATATATATATATAAACATATATATATATATATATATATATTTATATATATATATATATATATATATATATACGTTTCTTGTTTGGTATGTAAAAATGTATTTATACATTCAATGCTATCAATAAAATGTTCACCATTTTCATTTTGATAGTAATAGTCTAAACTATATTTAGTCAAAATCTTTATTGTTAAAATACTTAGATTTTCGCGTCAGTACGCTAGCATAAAAAAAAAAGTTTCCCCAGTTAGTATATCCTCTCCAAATGTAAACACCTTAACACCAGCTTCCTCGACACACCGGTATCTCATCAAAATTGACTGCAATTTGTAACAAATATCCTGTCATCACTTTGGTGAACTCCAATCCTAAGGCCGCTGAAAGAAACAACACATTCGCTGTTCAGCGCCACCTAGCGGCAAGTATATTGGCGCCAACAACATCTGCTGCCAGTAATAGAAACTGAACGGAAACAATAACAAAGAATAAACACAAAATCACTACAGAAATTCAAGTAAAAATAAAATCGATAGAATGTCAACAGAGTTAGAAATATCAGACAAGTAGTGTACGTGTTAATGACAGAAGATACGAAATTGCTAGCCTTGGATGGAAAGATACATTTTTTTTTCATTTGTAAACAATATATGTATACATATGTATCCACGTAGTAACATTTCAATATATATGTACAATACTTTTACAGTGACCTTCACTTGCACACACGCATATAAATTATATATAATATATATTATATATATATGTATATATATATATTATACATAATATATACATTATATACATATATATTATGCATAATATATATATATATGTACAGTGTAACCCGGATATAAGAGACCCGGATATAAGAGAAACCCGGATATAAGAGAGATTTTCTCTGGTCCCAAAGTGTTCCCATACTTACCTAAACAAAATAGACCAAACCGGGATATAAGAGAAACCCGGATATAAGAGACTTCTTCTCCGGTCCCGACAACTCTCTTATATCCGGGTTACACTGTATATATATATATATATATATATATATATATATAAAACGCTGACTGGGACCTGATAAGGCCTTAGTGATCGAAACCGCGGTAGTATTTCATTCAGCGTTTTATCTTTTTACAATATTAAATCGCTCTACAGGTCTGATATTTTTTCTTGAAATTGAACAATTTTTTTTTTAACGCGTACAATTTTAACAACTATTTTAGTGTTTGTTTATGTTGTATATATATATATATATATATATATATATATATATATATATATATATATATATATATATGGTTTATTTCAACCTCAGTGGGTTATTTAATGTCGACAACATTTTTAAGTTAGATCCTTATGAATAGAATATGTATACTTTGGTTTACATTGATTTGGTTTATTTTGTTTTACGGCATATCAATCTCAATGGGTTATTTAATACTGGCTAAATTTTCATTGATGGTATTATTTTTTACCAAAAATCTATTTCTGGTTGGTTGTTTTATCAACCTCAGTGTGTCGTTTAATGCCAACAAAATTTTGAAATAGATTCATAGCGATAGTTTGGTTTGTTTTACGGCATATCAACCACAATGGGTTATTTAATGCCAACAAAATTTTTGTTGCTGGTAATATTTTTTTCCTTCATAAATCTATTTTCGGTAATATTTTATTCTTCAATAAAGAATTACTGGTAATAATTTTTTTTAAAAAAGTATTTCTAGTATTAAATTCTATTTTTACACTTTCATAGTGTTTTGACCCCAGTTTTGGGGGTTAGCTCTTTGCCCATAACTGGGACCCTAACAGGTACTAAAACCCCGGGTCAGGGTGGACCTTGGAACATCAGCAATTAAGAGGTGGTTCCACGCTCCTCAAAACCTCCTGATCAGAGACCTTGCTGTTGGACGTAGTTTATTGACTTACCCAGGACGCGCATGTAGTGTATCGTCATACCCAGGACGATATATATATATATAACGTGTGCTAATTTAATTCCAGGAATTATTGCTACGTGCTGCTATAATAAGGAGTCTAGTAGACATTTGCATCCAAGCACCTGTGAGCATGTTCTAACTTCCGCTTTCGTCAGACGTAGAATAGCTGAGTCATCTGAGTAGCAGTAGAGGAAGTGGTATGGGTTCCTGTCATACTGTTACCGGAAATTTGCCAGAGGAAATTGGAACAGCAGATTAACATGTCGTGTTTTCTTGCCTTGAAAATCAACATTCAAAACATTCGATTTTATTTGGTTCTTTCTGTTCCCAAACTCTCTTTTTAGTAGGATGTTTACAATCATTTTAACCACAAAACAGATGTTTACCATCAGATATCAATTTATCACTTATTGTTATTATCAATATCGTATTTTACTAGATCCTTACTGTTATTAAAAGGTTTTCAATATGCCTTTTTAAATATATTTTTCCAATTATTATTATTATTATTATATTTTGCTCTTTCAGAGATTGTTTTTTTCCCGTAGCAGTTTCGTGGGCATCTTGGAACAGTTTGATCTTTGCAAACTTTCCTGAACTGCACTTCGAAGGACGATACACATTTTTATTTATTTTTTATTTTTATTTTATTTTATTTTATTTTATTTTTCCTTTTTTTTTTCTTTTTTTTTTTTTTTTTTTTTTTGATATCGAAAGGATCTGACAGTTAAAGAGAGATTGGAAAAGAGGAAAAGAAATCAGAGGTGGAGGGAGAAGAGAGTTTGTAAATTGCTTCCCATCCTCTTATATCATATGTCAGTTTGAAATCAAGAAACACACGAATGCGCATGCGCATATACGATTTATTGTAGACGACATCGTTTTCCAGCAAGTTGTTTACGGAGGCGTTAAGCACAAACGCTAAAGCACTAATAACTGCATTTGCACAGACTGAACAATTCTGGCTCAAACCTAAGCACATCAGTGAGTTTTTATCCTGTACATTTGAGTTGAAGAGGTAAAAATTAAAGTCACGTCGAACAGACATTCAAAAAGATGGTACTTCATACAAGAGATTGACTAAGAAAACCTTCCAGAATAAGTGAGCGAGAAATACGGCAATGGGTACAGCAATCAATAACCCCTACGTTGCAATCTCTCTCTTCTCGCTATTCGTCTTGTGAAGTGAAATAAGCCACTATTTGAATAGATACTCGGGTTTGCTTAATAAAAAGAAGCCTGCCATGAAATTTGAATAGAAATACCTCTGCATCGCCCACGATTTGATTGGTCTATTTATATTTCAACGTAAACTCCTTATTATTCTCCGTATATGTGTAACGGCTCATCTACTGCACATTTGCATGACGAATAGTTTATCTTTATGAGAGAATATTATTTTTATGCTTTACAAGTATAATGGTAGACATAGATGCATCTCTGTAGTAGGCAGACTTATCAATATTAACTGATCATGATTCACGCATATGAATAGGCTAAGATAGATAGATAGATAGATAGGTAGATAGATAGATAGATAAATAACATTTTGCTTCAGATATTTGTCCCTTTCACCGGCGACTCTAAGTGGCAGGTTTTTTATGACTGTACCAAGATTGTTGTTACAAAGCCAGGAGGTGAAAGATTAACTGTAATAGAAAAACATTTTTCAAAAGTCACATAGGAAAGCCTTTGAAGGACTTAACAAATTGATTTTGATCACATAGGAAAAATAATAATAATAATAACAGTAAAGAAATTCCACCAATCAAGGAAAATACTTAGACAAAATCTGTAATTAAAGGCACAGATATCAAGACGATATGAAAAGAGTTGTTAGTACTATCGACAAAATAAGATATTCCAAACGGACTTCAAGAAGTTTTACAGGGAAATTGGAAAAATAGTTATAGAAGTCAAATAGACACCATCTATTGAAGAAGTACAAAATAGTTTGGAGAATATTTGGAGCAACCCAAAAGAATATAATCCCAATGCATAGTGGATCAAATGAGAACAAGAAAGAATGAAACCTGTTAAAGAATGGAAAAATATAACCAAGTATAATGTTGGACAAGCTCTAACAAAATCCCCAAAAATGGACATCCCAAGAAATGATAAGGTACCCAACTTTTGGCTCTATCATCTGTCATCAATTCATAAAACTCTCTGTAAACTTTATCAATGCTAATTAATAACCCTAATAGAATTTCAGAATGGATCACTGAAGGTATTACATCTCTCCTCCCAAAAACGGATGAAAGAGATGATCCAACATAATTATAGGACAATCACATGTCTGTCCACAACATATAAATTGATTACGTCTGTCCTGACGAATTGTACTTACTATTTTCTTCGATGAAAAACACATTCTTCCCCTAGAAGAGAAGGCATGTCGAAGAGGTACATATGATTGCAAAGGTCAACTACTAATAAATAAAATGATTCTGGAAAATTGCAAGAAGAAAGGTAGAAATCTCAGCACAGCTTGGATAGATTACCGTAAAGCCTTTGATAGTGTCCACACTCTTGGATCCTCTTTGGAAATGTAGGAAGTCTCCTTGGTGATAGTAAATTTCCTTAAATATAGCAAGGAACTGAAGAAAATCACATTATACCTAAATCACACCAAATCACTGCCACTTTAATTGTTTGAATATTCGACGAGGAATCTTTCAAGGAGACTCCCTGTCACTTCTTCTGTTCTGTCTGTCCTTAATCTATCTTTAACATGAACTAAACATCAATAACTATGGATACAAATTAAAAAAAGAAAGTATTTAATAATCTATTCTACATGGATGGTATCAGACTCTTTGCCAGAGACGACAATAAGTTGAAGGGTACAATCAATACTGTGAAAAGTGGGGACATCGGTATGGATTTCGGATTAGATAAATGTGCAAAACTAACATTCAAGAAAAGGAGAATTACAGAAACACACTAAATAGATCTGGATATTGTCAGAAAGATTAAAGAACTGAAACTAGAAGGAAATACCTAGAAATCAGCGAAGGAGATGGAATACAGTATGAAGGAGAAAGTATGAAAAGAATACTAGAGGCTTCCGGTGTTAAATACCGAGATGAAATGGAATATCAGCCATAAACACTTTGGCTGTCCCTATGGTGTAATAAAGTTTCAACATCCTTAACTGTACCATAGCTGACACTAATCGAATGGGTGTCAAAACGAGAAAGCTTGTCACTTGACACCGCATGCATCATCCTAACTCTAATGTTGATCGTCTGTATGTCTCCAGATCCGAAGGAGGCAGAGGATTATTTTAACTAGAACTCTCTTACAAAACCACAACAATCGGATCTTCAAAGATATCTGGAAACGACAGAAGACTGGATGATGATCTGTGTTAAAGAACATGAAAGAAATAAAAAAAAAACTTTATTCAATAATAAAGGAAGCCAACAATTTCAAAAGGGAATTTCAAGTGGGTGAAGAAGTGCAAATAAACTATAATACACCGACTGTAGCGACAAAGAACCTAAAAAATAACGCAAAAGCAAATGCAGCGTACCAAGTGCAGAAACGATGGCAAGATAAACCTCTTCATGGTCAATACTCTGCCAGTACGAAACAAGCAGATGTAGACAGACTCTGTACCCATCAGTAGTTACGTAGTGTAGAGTTAAAAGCTGAAACCGGAGGTTTTACTCTCGCTGCTCAGGACAATGCTAACTAGACATTACCAAGCACACACACTGAAAAATTGTATTAATCCGAAATGCAGATTCTATGATAAATATTAATTAACCATATTCTATCAGGCTACCCAATGTTAGCACCCAATGAATATAAAACTCGTCGTGATAGAGTTGGCCAATATCTGCACTGGAAAGTATGCAATTTTTACAGAAAGGAAAACTGTAAAAAAAAAAACTGGTATGAACATTATAGGCCCGGTTGTAGAGATAGGACTTGTAACAAATTTATGAGACTTTACAATAAACACAGACAGAACAATCACAGCTAACCACCCAGACATCGTGATCAATCACACAAAAACAAAATACGCTTATGTACTGACATGACAGTCCCTGTAGATTTTAACGTGTCTTTGAATATCTTCAAAAAACCTATCAAAATACAAGGATCTTGAAGTTGAAATCTCAAAAATGTGGCACATGGGGGTGTCAATAATTCCAATTATAGTTGGTGACCTCGGATTGATTGGAAATAGATAGAATCATTGAAGGGATCCCTTATGGCCCATGCTATAAAGAAATACAAAAAATTGTACTCACAAGTACAGCCCATATATTACAAAGGTCTTTAACGATGTAAAATGTGTATGATCTTAGGAATTTTTTTTTGTTTTTTTCCTCAAAAAATGCTCAGTGAAAAATGTCATGATGCCATTTTGACCTTAGGTCTCTGGTTGGGACCAGGAAAGAAATGCGTATACACCGGAAATCAAAGGAAATATAATAATAATCTTACTTATTATAAAACGCAGATTGTGTGTGTGTGTGTGTGTGTGTGTGTGTGTGTGTGTGTGTGTGTGTGTGTGTGTGTGTGTGTGTGTGTGTGTGTGTGTGTGTGTGTAACGTTTATATATTGGATTGGATTTCCTACATTTTTCAGCCGATTGCAACAAAACTTCACAGGACTACATAAAATTACCTTGTGGTGGTTCTAACAGCGCCAAAAATGGGAAAAACACAATTGTTTTTGCACAAAATCAATTTGAAAACACGATTAAGAGACATCGTGAGAATGGAAGGGGGATAACTCACATCGGGTTAAAAACCCAGGTTGTGTGTGTGTGTGTGTGTGTGTGTGTGTGTGTGTGTGTATTCCTTTATATATGGGATCGGATTTCAGCCGATAAAACAAAAATTCACTTTTTTTTGGCAGGTAGTGTTTCTTATTCTCTTGCACACTTTTTTCTTTATTTATACATTCAGAATGCTTTGAAAAATTCCATTTACAAGACAATTGTTTATAATAAAATTCTATTCAATCGGGAGACTCATAACGATTGAAAACAATGTTCTTGTTTGAGTTTGAGTTTGGGTTTGACCAATTCGTAAAAAAAAAAAAAAATTTAAGACATGCGTCTCCATCAACCTTAAACAATAATAAGAAATCTGATAGACAAAAAACAACAATATTCCGAAGATGATAATTATTAAGGAGAGAAGACAGTACTTATCTTGTACCCGACTTTTCTGCTTGATTCCTTTTTCTTTCTTTTTTTTGTTTATGCAAGTGAGTTTTTTACGAGGGGGCGGGGCTGTGTGTCTTGCTTAGGAGTTTACGAGAATTTTCGTCGTTTCCTCCGATACACAAAAAGTAAACAAATTGACTTTTTAAACTTCAATAATTGTCCACACGTGGGTGCCTTTTCGAGCGCCAAAGGTCATCCCCCTCCTCCCCTTACGGACGGCCTCCATACACGTACTAACGCAACAGGATACGCAATCTTACTTATTATAAAACTCAGATTGTGTATGTGTGTGTGTGTGTGTGTGTGTGTGTGTGTGTGTGTGTGTGTGTGTGTGTGTGTGTCTGTACGTTTATATATTGGATCGGATTTCCTATATTTTTCAACCGATCTCAACAAAACTTCACAGAACTACATAAAATTACGTTGCGGTGGTTCTTACAGTGCCAAAAATTGGAAAAACACAATTGTTTTTACACGAAATCCATTTGAAGGCACGGTTAAGTGTATCGCACCCGGCCGGAAGTTACTGCCGACTACTTAAACGTCCGAACGCCGTTAACTTCCGGTGACTCAGCGTTTTTTTTTTGTTTTTTTTTTCAGAGAACGATACACAAAAAGTAAACAAATGAAATCTAAACATACACAAGTCCTCCTAACTAAAAATAATAACCGGAAACTACTTTAAATACACATGGTGCCCAATTTTTTTTAATGTATTCAATAAGTAAAAATCATAAATTGTAAAAGATTACAGAAAGGCTACTAAATGAATAAGATTTGTTAGATTATAATTACTAAACTCAAATAAAGTTAATATTTTTTGTATTAGAAACAACGAGTGGAAAATATATTCAAATCAGAATTCTAATTATGAATCACCACAAGCAAAATATTCAATTTTTTTTTACTGTATTCAATAAGTAAAAATTATAAATTGTAAAAGATTATTATTACAGATAGGCTACTAAATGAATACGGTTTGTTAGATTATAATTAATAAACCCAAATAAAGTTAATATTTTTTGTATTAGAAACAACGAGTGGAAAAATATATTCAAATCAGAATTCTAATTATGAATCATCACAAGCAAAATATGCAATTTTTTTTACTGTATTCAATAAGTAAAATTATAAATTGTAAAAAGATTACAGAAAGGCTACCTACATTTTTCAACCGATTTCAACAAAACTTCACTTTTTTTTTTTTTGGCAGGTAGTGTTTCCTATTGTTTTGCACACTTTTTTCTTTATTTTTATATTCAGAATGCTTTAAAAATTCCATTTACAAGACAATTGTTTATGATAAAATTCTATTCATCAATCGATAGACTCATAACGATTGTAAACAATGTTTTTCTTTGAGTTTGGGTTTGACCAATTCGTAAAAAAAAA